ATGACCTCGCGGATGGCGTTGATTCCTTTTTTCTTTCAAATGAAGATTCTTAATTTGCAATAAATTTTGTAAGGATTTTATTTATATTTACCGTCTATAATACTTAATAAGTAGAATATAAAGCATTTTTCGCACAAAGGACTTTGTTAGTTTAGTTTTAGTAATTCGAGTATAATTTTTTTTTAAAGCCACATTTTTCGTATTTATTAGCCTTACCTTCTTTTTTGTTGTGTTTATTTTGGACACTGTTTGAAAAAAATGAATGTGTTTTATTATGACACTGTCACTCATTTGATATTTCAAAACAAAACAATTTTATTAACGGTTACCATCTCAAAGAAAATTGAGAATAATCAAGTTTAAGTATTAAAAAACTATTTAGAAATATGACGATGTCGGTAAGCTCGTCAGATTCGGATGAGGAGTTTCAGTCATACTCTGAGAGGACCTTGGCTATCATTAAGCCGGAAGCCTATGAAGATACCGAGGCTATAGAGAATCATATTAAAAATCATGGATTCACCATATTAGCTGTAAGTAGATTCACATATTATACATGTTTGTTTGAGTTTACACGTTTTATGTCGATAGAATATTTATAGTTTCAACATCATTTGATACAACATATTTTATTATATATCATATAATAAAAACGTTGCTTCTACTACCATGTTGAAATTAAAATACCATTCATAACTTGAGAAAAGAGTTTCAACATTGAAAACGTAATAAGATTACACTCAAAGACGTCTAGATTCTTCAATTTCATTCTAAAACTTGTCACTTTTCTGTATTAATGTTATTTTGTATTCTTTTCCTTAGAAGTCACCTTCGGAAAAATGGCGGCTGAAACAATGATTTTTTTTTAGTACATTCAGTCCTTTTTACACCCTAAGGGTAGGGTGAGGTTTGGGGAGCTTGTCCCCTATTTTATTAAAATTACAAAAAAGATGAAAGCGTCGAGTTTTGTCATTATTTTTCATTTTGGATGTTCAAATTTCCAATAAGTTTTCTGATTTCTTTTGATGTGAATGTAATAAAATTAGGTGTCGGATATATAATGTTAATTAATGAGATTCATCGTAGATCGATAAAATAAACTATTACGTTAACCTAACTTATAGGTACCGAGCGTACCTCGAATGTGGCAGATATTTAAATACCAGTCAAAGCAAGAACTAAATTCGTATAACATTTATGAAACTTTCGGTTTCGACTGAAATACATAATGTTTTGACAAATATTGTCATCTCCCACTTTCTATTTGGTAAAAACGCGACAATACTATGTTGCAGTCAAAACGTACAGTAAACGCAAAATCTTTGTACACAAGTAACATTGCAAAGATCAATCAGCAGTCATTAAATCTGAGCTACATGGTATAGGCGGAGCACTCTGAGAGGGAGCGCAAAGAGGTCCGAATGGACGGCGGCGAAGGGTTGCGATATGCAAAACTCATATCAGCGCTGGCGGGCGCGCGCTCGTTATTACGCGTCACAAACAACCCTCGTGCCTAAATAGGGTTGACACTTTAAATTAGATCGCGGAATATATTTTTTTTAACTAAATATCTGATTTTCACAAAAAATATCATGCTTTATTGTAAATAGGGTTTTCGTATGAACACAATTTTGATTTTGTTTATTCTCATAGTTGAAAGATGAAGGTTATGAATAAACATAATTCTAGAACCTAGCTCTAATCATGCATTTTTAATTTACTGTTTTAGTTTCCAATTATTATAATAATTCGAAGAACCTGATTAGTAAAGTCTAGACCAAACAAATACCATGATATAATAAAAATAATAATCAACCATTTCACCTAATAAAATGTACAACCCTAGGCATACGATAGATCCTCGAGCTCCCTATCTCTCCGCGAGCGGTCACTGCTGTTATCTATGGAAACCATACAAAAAAATTAATTAAACATTCCTTTTGACGTTTGTAGTGGGGTGCACGCGACAGCCCTGCGCGCGACTCTAATAGGTTATTTCTATTAACGATGACGTGGAAATTGGCGCCTCGACTACTTCTAGTATACATTTAGACATCACTAGTTTTTACCCTTTAATTTTATAGCCTGTACTTAGATATTAAAGGGTAAAAAGTCCCCTAAACATATCGAAAATCTTGTTAAAAGACGCTTTATTTAATTTGCTTTTGATAATTGTAGAGACGAGAAGTACATCTAACTCCGGAGCAGGCGGCGGAGTTATACCGTGGACACTATGGCCGACAGCACT